GTACATTTACCATGCATTTCTTATATGAATCTACAGCCAGATTTTAAAAGAAACTCTAAAGGTAGTCTTGCTTTGAAAGATTTTATTCACACCTTTAGAATTATTTAGACCTATTTTTCCATCTCTTATTGGATCCTGACTACCCTATATCATAATGCACTTCAGTGTATCACTCAGACATAGTAGAGTTGGATAGTCACAGATTTCCTGAGACATGTGGTTACATTTTAGAAGTTTGGTTTAAATGTTTATTTATTCATGGTTAGACAAGGTAATATTTCATATTTCAACTACCTTATGAGGGTCTATAATGGGCTACTTCCAAGACTCATCAAACTCATCATTAAAACTCTAACTCACTGCCATCGAGTCAAATCCGACTCATAGCAATCCCTCTTTGGGTTTCCAAGGCAGTATCTCTATGGAAGTAGATTGCCCAGTCAAAGCATTACTAAATATTAATTCATTTTGCACTTTGACGTCTGTGCAGCTATGTGGGTTTACATGACATCAGTGGTCAGAGTTGACTGTGTACTTTCTAAGGAGAGCATGGAAGTCTTAAGTACCATCTGTGCTGGCACTTTGATTAGCCTGTCCTGATTTATTATTTTGCCACTAATGTATGTCTGTGTAAGTGTCTAGGTTCATTTTATCAAATACATAGACATTTATTTTTAATTTACTTTTGCCCTTAAAAAAAGTGTATTTTTCCACTTTTAAACTAACATCACATATTTAGTTTGGTATATTTTCTTTGCATGTTGTTGTTGTTATTTGCCATCGAGTCGGCCCCGACTCATAGCGACCCCTCCTTGGGTTTCCGAGGCAGTATCATTATGGAAGTAGGAATGCCCAACCTTCCTTCTGGGGAGTGGCTGGTGGGTTTGAACCTCCAGCCTTCTGGTTAGCAGTCAAGTGCCTTAGGCACTATGCTAATTAATATGTTCTTTTATAACAGTATTAGAATTAGAAATAGATTAGGAAAAAAAAATGAAAACAACTGATGATAAAATCACTGTTCTTCCAAGTATTCTAATATATTTTTTAAGGAAAATGAGAACGAACTTTTGTCCTGTGTACTCTCTAAGGACAGGGGACTGAAGCAGCCCATGGAGGAGACTTACAGCCATCAGGCTGTGTGAGGAGGCCTTAGTGCCACAGATGGTTCTGGTGTCCTCCAAAGTTTGAGATCATGAGAGCTCTGGTGGCATAGTGCCTAAGGCATTTGACTGCTAACCAGAAGGCGAGAGGTTCAAAGCCACTAGCCAGCCCTCTGATGAAATATTGGACAATCTACTTCCTTAGAGATATCACCACAGAAACCTAAGGAGGGGTCGCTATGAGTCGAGATGACAGTGAGTTTTTTTTTTTTTTTTTTAACATACATCATGGAGAAATCTGGAAGATAATTATAAATGCAAGAGTAGTGACCAAGGGCTGTCTATTTAAGGTCATCTTGCTGATGACCTGCCAAGAGTAGAAGGATAACTAATCCTGATTCTGGAAGTTCTTTGTATCTGTTGATGTTTTGACTAGCACCTCTCTGTGGAACCTCAGCTACATGTGGAAGTTAACAGTTCCTAGAGGGAGCTCTGGTATGACTATGAGTCAGGTCTGACTCGACGGCACATAACAATAACAACAGAGTGACTTTGGGCTACTTTTGTTGTTGTTGAGGATAGCGTATTGAGATGATATTATTCTTGAGAGAATGAATAAACGTCATCACTTGGTACTTAAAAGTATCTGAGGGTTGATCAGAGCCCCAGAGAATGACTAGAATCATTGCCTTAGTTAGCTTTTGACTAGGCATCAGGCGTGCAGAGGAGGCTTAGTAGCCAGCAACACAAGTAAGTTTTCTGTTCTTAACACTCTATAAAGGAGTCCCTCCAGTAACTTGTAAAATTGTAATAAATAGCTTTGTGAAGTACTCTTCCAAAATTATGTGATTATGTCTAGATTACAATAAATACTTTCTTTTTTCAAAAAAAAAGACATTAAATTTGTTTTCTTTGTCCCTTATGAATTAATTTGAGTACCAGTGACTCAGACTAGCACATTCTCAGTTCTTGCCTTGTAACAGAGGCTGCCAACCTGCCCAAAGGCAAGGGTTGAATCTGTGTTAACAGTAATAAAAAAATTCCAAAGAGTTCTTACCATCAAATTTATAGACCTCTCATTGGGTGGCCACTGTCTTGTGTTAAGGAGAATGCAGCAGCCCTGTAAGGCACTCAGGGTGGCACGGCTTAGTCTGGGAGAGGAGACACTGGAGCTTACTCTGCTGATGCCCAGTTCAGTTACGCTACCACTTCTTAGTTGTGGTGATAGTTTTCATAAATGATTTCACTTCTGTTAGTTTTAAGTGCCATATGATTTGATACTAATACCACTTAGCATTTATTCTAAGTGTGCTGGAGTTTCTGAAAGCAGAGTGACCATTTCCACCTGGCAGGCAGAGTTGGTTCAGCTTTTATAAACGATTTGGGGTGTGAGGAATTGATTGGATTTAGGATTAGAGAAGTTGAAATTCCAAATGGGATGCTCTTTCATGGACAGTACATGTCAGTGAGTCCATAAAATGTAAATGGTGTCAGCAAGTTTTGAATATGACGTTCTAGAGGGTATTTATCATAAAAAATCCACAGCACTATTTTCTGAGACAGTAAAAGCAGTGTTGAAAAGTACAGAATATATAAAACATTAAATCTACTTGGAAAAACTAATAAGCTTTGTTTATACCAAAGTTGCCTACATTTCCAGGAGACAGATTTACTCATGTTAGTTATGTTTGCAAAGCAACATTTTTTTCACTTTTACATTTTTGTTTTTGTTGTTGCAGTGTGTAATAAATAGCTTTGTGAAGTACTCTGCCAAAATTATGTGATTATGTCTAGATTACAATAAATACTTTATTTTTTAAAAAAGAGAAAAGGCATATGTATGACATAACGTATGCTATCTTATCCATTTTTAAGCATGCAATTCAGGGGCATTAATTGCATTTACAGTGTGCAACTATTAATACTATCTATTTCATCTCCCTGAACAGAAACTCTATGCCCATGAAGCATTAACTCCTTATTCTTACCACCACCCCCCCGACACACACACAGCCCCTGGTAACCTCTACTCTATTTTCTATGAATTTGCTTATTCTAGATATTTCATATATGGAGAATCATACAATATTTGACCATTTGTCCCTGGCTTATTTCACTTAAGGAGCTCTGGTAGCATAGTGCCTAAGACATTTGACTGTTAACCAGAAGGTTGGTGGTTCAAACCCACCAGCCACTCCACAGAAGGCAGACTGGGCAATCTACTTCTGTAAAGATTTACCACCTCGGAAACCCAAAGGGGGTCACTATGAGTCAGAATCGACTCAATGCCACTGTGTTTGGTTTTGGTTTATTTCACTTAGCATCATGTTTTCAAGGCTCATGCATATATCACAAGTTTAATTCTTTTTCTGGCTGAATAATATTATGTTGTATGTTGAGCACATTTTCTTTATCTGTTCATCTGTGGATGGATACTTAGTTTGTTTCTACCTTTCGATTATTGTGAATAATACCATTGTGAACTTTGGTGTACAGGTATCTGACTGCTAAGCCAGCATTCTGGTTGGTAGCTCAAACCCACCAGCCACTCTGCAGAAGGAAAATGGGGCAGTCTACTTCTGAAAAGATTTACCACCTCATAAATCCAATGGGGTCACTATGAGTCGGAATCAACTCGATGGCAGTGGGTTTGGTTTTGGTTGTTCATTTCATTTAGGTGTGTACCAAACAAAGTGTTTTCCACAGTAGTGGCACCATTGTACATTCTCACTAGCGATGTTCTTGGATTCCAATTTATTCACATTCTCTCCAACACTTGTTATATTCCATTGATTTTTTTTTTAATAATACTCATTCTATTAAGTGGGAAGTGTTATCTCATTATGGATTTGATTTGTATTTCCCTAACAAATAATGATATTGAGCATTTTTTT